TCAAGCTGGCACATGTGGCAAGGATCCTTAGCATAAATTACTTTCTTGGTAGTACTAAGACTCGGTAGTGTCCTCTGCTACGTGGAAATGATCGTCCCTCGTACTTATTGATTTTATTCACTGGGTGGAGAGAGAGGCACTGTTGTATTTTAGGATAATCACACTAAGAAAACCACACCAACTACAAGGTGTGTTCTCTCTCGTTTATTCACGAAGCATCATGGGTATGATGACGTATGAATATATTACAGGCACTATGAGAGATCGCTGTCTTGCTCAATGGTGAAATGACCCAGCCAAGACTTTAACTCAGACTGCACAGTTTAGAGTGCAAATGTGGTAAACTCCCGGAAATTTGAAACAACAGGTAAATCCAGTCATTAGTATCCCTTGCCTGGTTTACTCCTTCGTATCAATATTCATTTATTACTTCCTTCCTTCGTCTCCTTGTTTTTATTTTGGCCTTGGTTTTTAGGTGTCAGTTTGGTCTTTACCAAAGCAGCAGTCAGAGGCTCCCCGAAAAATGGGGAAGCAATTTTCCAATTATTTTCCCCTTAAGCGTCCGGCCACCAATTTTAATCTGCAATCCCCTTCCCTGTAATCCATAAAACCAGAGATTGGAAAAATTTGTTGTCAGTGACCGAAACCATTCATGATCGCTGACATCTTAAAGGAAAAATTTCTTAAATGAGATAATGTGATTTGAAAGAATTATCCAAAACAAAAGACAATAAAATGTAGCCAAGACACAAGGGTAACAGCATTTTAAAAGCTCTCATTTGCTGTTTTTAGGAAACAATATTACGCAGGGAAGCTTTGTGCTTCAACTAAAGTAAATAAAGCTTCAGATTAATTTTCGGGCTTTCAATATCTCTTTCACCTCTGAAATTTAAAAGTGGTTTAGTTTCAAAACTTGATGTCGACTGTTCTACTCCTTCCAAAAAACGAGCTTGTTTACGTCCGTCCTACATAATTTTTTTTCCTGCTCGGGATCAAAGAAGACTATCTCGAAAGGGCAAGATTATTCATCTTGACTGCGCAGATGGCCAATTAGAACACGGGGTTCACATAGAGATTATTGTATGGAAAGTGCGCTTGAACGATTTTTATTTACGATGCATTTCAAAGATTGGAAGCTAGCGACTGTCAAAACACATCGTTCGTCCAATCAGAGACACGAACGCTTAGTACATCATGGTGTAAAGCTTAGTATGTATTAAATGATTCATTTCCATGGTGAGCATGGGCACAGCCAGCTGTAAGATATTTAAAAACTTTTCAGCGAAGCGGAGGTGGGGTGGCTATTTACTAAGTCGTGGAGAGTTAAATATCCACCATCAGTTATTGACACTTAGGTTAAAAGTTGTTTTAGTGTGCACTTACCTATACCGGCAACTATTAGAATATTTTGGGGCGTAACATTTTCGAAGGTGAATAGCAAAGGAAATTCGGAGTCTGATCCGAAGAGCAGCCAATCAAAGCGAGCCAACAACGCTATCCACTGTTGTAGCATATACAAAGACGATATATCGCGCTCTGCAAATGTTTTCAAATGGTCTGACGAAATATCGACCGTTAGAACAATAAGCTAGCTTGCGATATATCTAGACAACTGATAACGTGAAAATCTTCGATATTAGGGTTAGCATCGCCATGCTCTTGTCTGGCACTGTACATGTTATATCATTGAAATGACTTTTTTCACATTTTTCGTGAATCATATTGGAGGCCTAAGCAAGGAGAATATGTTGCAATGAGTAGTTTCTAGACGAAGGGCAGGAACAAAACACAGCAACAATTCAATTTCTGTTTAAAAATTTATTTCATAAAACTTCCGGAATTTTTTTCACCTCAGAAAGGAGCACAAAAGGGGAAATAATAGCTATCTGTCATAGTAAGGTCTAACTTAGAGATAATAATTCGCCTATCCAAAGAAAAGTTATTCGCTGGAATCCAAATTAAAAGTTTTGAAATATAATCGTAATGAAAATCTGCAGTAGCTTAACTTTTCCTATGTACCACATTTTATGTTTTTTTTTTGTTTCTACTTTTACCCTTTATGAATTGTGTGGACATTTTCTAGAAAACAATTCAAAAAAATAACTCAAGACTATAAAAGACTAATTAAAAAGTTTATTCGCCAAACGCAGAAGTAACGATGTAAACCGTCAGCTCCAGCTATGTAAACAGCTCCAGGGGAGAACTTTTATAAGGTGGACATCCTTTATGTCTCAGGGCCCTATTATTAATTATTAACAAGGATGACTCATAAAAATTCGCCGTTTAGTCAATAAAAACTAAATTGCAAAAGAGAGAAACTGACGGATGGTGAAAGCGTCGTGACGTTTGTCATTGCAAAGTGTTTAACAACGTAAACCAGTCTAAGAAGAAGGATTGAGGACTTTCCTTCTGATCTGTGTCTAGAAATGAAGCGCTGTCACTTCCCAGTACTTTCGTTTCTTTTTCTTTTTCTATGTTTGGTGGCTTGACATTCGTAGACCATGGTAAGTATGTTTCGTATCTCTGTATCTATAGTGGAGGACAGCTTAATTGTGCTGATTTATATTCACAAACTTTCCATTACTTCGGTTCAGATTCGTTTACTATTATAGTTTCAGTTCGGTCATTTGACTTTGCATTTGGTCTATACGAGCTGTTAGGTGAGGGAAATTGTCGACTTATTCTCGATTGAATCGCAAACTGAAATCATAAGAATGTGGAAAAGAAAACGTTTTTTAAAGCACGTTTCTGAGTGAACAACGGTGAACTTAGCTTTGTTTAGTTTGTACACACCATATTTGAAGGGGTCCGTTTTAAAACTGTTATGTTGTATTTCATCAGACATTTAAGACGTTTTAAGACAAATTGTAATCATCTTCTGATGATATTTCTTACGTGATTAATCGCGAATGATAACGTTTAGACTCAAAGAACAAACTTGATAAACGAAGATGAAATGTTACGGTTTCATTCGGGACTTTTCGCCAACTTCAGCAGTTTTCCTTGGAACAACCCTAACCATACGTTACTAAGAAAAGAACCCTCTTGGACGAATGATAACAATATTGATGAACTAGAACCTATTCAAAGTTTTTGATAACAAAAAGGAATACGACTGGACAAGTCTCCTTTTGATTTCGATATAAGTCTGTTTGGACAGACTCATGTCATAAATAACTAATACCACTGCGGTATTTCAATGAGCAATAATTGATCAGAGTGACCTGCATTTTAATTTCAAGAATTTTGAAGTATTGATCAAACACTTTTAAGCGAGGAAACTATTTTAAACCTTAAACTAGGGCTATGAATTAAATTCACCTTTCCAAGAACCTCAGCTCGACAATGTTTGATTTTGGCATAAAAGAGGACACCTTTTTTTAAGGTTGTGAAACAAGATGTACGGAGCGCTTAGAAAAATTTATCACGAAATTCGTTGCCAAATTATATTTATTGGAAATTGGTCACAAGGAAAATTGTAGGAAAATTGTTGTCAACAACGTTTCAGGCGAGTTTCTCTTCGTTTCAAAGGAGTTTGTTTTTACAAAGCAACAAGTACATCAGTTATAACCGATGGGTAAAATAAAAATTGCAGAGATGTAGAAGAAAAAAATAGATCTTTTTATTAATAATCAGCAGGCTCTTCAGATTATTTCTTTGCTCTCCAATGTAGAGCTTGCATAAACTTGTGTTTATAAATGATTTACCCAATAATAGAAAAGCAGAACTTCTAGAGAACAAGGGAAAAATCAAATCATATAAATCTTCACCACAAGGTTAAAAGAAATTGTCTAGGGACGCTGATTTTTACATCTGATAAAGCTTTTCACAAGGAACTGAATTCGTTTAAACTGAACGTTGCTAAAAGTTGAGAGGCACAGCCTATTGTCATCGGTTTTAACAACATCAATTTCATAATACTTAAATGGAACTCTTTCAATTATTCATCAGTACAAAAAAAAAATGATGAACGCTCCAAATTATTTGTCACAGAGGGTGTGATATTTTCTTTGGAGTCAAAATTCTTTAAATATACAAAGTTAATATCTAGAGAAAATTACATAGAATACTGAAAAGAAAACGATTCTGTTATTCATATTGTTTAATTAAGTATATAGAAAACCCCTACGCATGTTTTAATTCCTAAACAAAGAGCGAAAGAAATTCTTTCATTCAAGATGTTTATTTCTTAATCAAGTAAGTTTCCTCCGCAGCAGAAATTTACAAGACTTTGTGAAACATTGTTATACCACTGCGAGCTTCTCTTGAACTGCACAGCAGTAACTTTGCACGTAGAAAACTCATCACAAAAGGCGACCATAAGGGCAAAACAGCCTCGAAAAATGCCGCAGCTAATGAGTTTATTGAGGAAAATCAAACTAGGGAATAAAAAAGCGTCAGCAATAGAGGCCGGTTGTTTCATTATTAAGCTTCATTTAAGTAACTATAAGCAGTGACTGTGAGTAGAAGAAAATACCGTTTTAGAAAATTGAATAATTCACCTCTTCAATAAGAAATCGCTGAAAATAACATCTATTCTGAGAGGTTTCCATCCTGTAACACAGAGTCGTATTCAACCTTCTACATTTTGGTTAAGTTTAGTGAAGTAAGGTTTCCATGGTAACAATACGTGATGTCTAGAGTAGCACGACAGGTTATTCGTCCCAAAATATAACGGTGGTTTTTAAAGGATGAGAAATCAAAACATCGTCATTTGACGGGTCATTGTGCGTAGCAGTTTCTTTAATTTTGGAAGTAATTCCCAAACTTTTAATATCTTATTACTACTTAACGATACTCAACTAGGTCTTTTGAAAGCCGTGTTCCAAACAACGACAGATTATTTTACTTAGTATTTTCTGAGATGATTGTAATCTTTTCAATGTTGTCACTCTTCCGACCCCGAAATCGCCCATGATGACGAAAGGAGGTTAGCTCACACGGAAGCTAGAAAGAGAACTTCGTACACACACATGTAAATGCTCTAACAGCAGTTTCGCCATCTGATTGAAACTTTTTCCTTACTTTGCGTTCAGAATTGCCACACCGTCAAACGATGTAGCTCTCCTCTGTATGTAAAGATGTTTTTTTCAACAGATAAAATTAGGTTATAAAGAATGCGATTACTCTCCATGTTAGTACCCAATGCCCGGAAAAGAAAATCAATAGAGCACAATTGCTAGTTGCGTTGGTAGTGGCCGCACATGTAAACGATACGGTTTATTTCACAAAAATCGCATTCTGTTGTCCACTCAGGAGGGGCTTTAAGTTTTCCTGTTTTTTTTTTTTTTTGTTCTTTTGAAATGAGTATCAAAATTTATTGTGAGATGAATTCAAATTTTAGTAAGTTGTTAGTTATATTTATATATTTTCTCTTTTTTTCTCCTTTTTTGAGACTCAGACAAGAAGGATTACAACAGACGCTTCCTTGAAAGAGATTTGTTCCATTTTATAATTCTCACTTATGTCCTTAACACGTCCCCTTTTGTATTTCAAGGGTTGTGCGATGGTTTAAGTGCGGGTTTTCAGCCAATTTGAAGAAGTCACTTAACTTTTGACTTGGTGCTGATTTAAATTATGGCATTCAAGTATTTTTATAAATAGTTCATAGGTGATTTTTCAGCTCTTTATCTGTCAAACCGAGGAAAGATGCAAATTTTTTAAAATAATTGACGCTTCCGAACGCGAATTTTTAGCGTCACGACGACAAATTTAGCATCTAAGATCTAGGGTCTACCTAGGAGAAAAATTTAGTGGGCGTCTTTTATGAAGGTCTCAGTGTAAAATTGAGATAATGATAATAAAAAGATACAATGAAACTAATTTCGGTTGTCTTTCGAAATGATTTGTTCCCTTTAGAATTCCATTCTCTCGATACCTAAAGGACATTTCGTTGTTTTATCGAAACTTGTTCCTCACAGTATATTTGAAGCGATAAAAGGTTTAAATTCCTTGAACAAAGAGCCATCTCAGTTGAAATTAAGATTAGGTGCATACGATGAACTTGTATCGACAGTTGGACCGTTTTTGCAGTTTTATATTTTTGCTTCTGATACTAGTCGATAATCACTTTCTAAACGACAGTTTGAGGAGTGATTAGACTTTCGATCGAAATATTCGAAATTTCTACCAATTTCTTTTGTATAAATCAGCTGAGTGAAAATTACGGAAGCCGAAAAGGGACAACCCAAAAATATTTTTCAAATCCCGGAAAATATTTCAAATCGCAATATTTATTTTAAACTCACTGTCGAAAAGTTTGACAAATCCAAAGATATTTTGCAAATCCAAAAAAATTTTTAGAAATCCAAAAAAGTTTTTTCAAAATCCGAATTATATTTTGCGAATCCAAAAAAATTTTTTGAAATCCAAAAAAATTTTTTCAAATCCAAAAATATTTTGCAAATCCGAAAAATATTTTGTCACGTTCTATTTGCGCCAGCAGTCACCCAGCGTTTTCTTGCCATATCCCGCATCATCCCGCATACAAAATGGCGAAGGAACGAGGATAGAACATGTTCTGTCATAAATGTGGAAGAGAATGTGGGAACAATGAAACATTCTGCCGTTGTTGTGGAACACTAAAATGGCGTGAAGAGGAAAGTGTGTTGTCCAGCTCGGGAGACGAAAGATTGGCTATAGAACATTACTTTAATAAGGGATTTCGTTACGA